TGGTGTTGGACGTGATGACGGTGTTGCCGCCGGAGAGTTCAGCCCGATCTTCTACAAGAAGTCGGACGTTGAGCTCGTGTCCAATGATTCATTCTGGCTTTCGTAAGTAGTCGTTGGCATGTCCCAATTTCAGGCGTCTTATTACTCATCACTCATGAACAGCGATACGCCTTTTGAACCCTCGAAGTTCCCTGGTGCGGGGTCCTCCAGGGTCGCCACTGTGACGCGCCTCAAGGCGAAGTCGAACCCTTCGGCCCCGATGGAGTTCACGTACATCAACACTCATCTAGATGACCGATCCGACGCTCAGCGTCGTCTGGCTGCTTCACTGATGCTCACCCGTGCCCGCTACGAGGCCTACAAGACCGGCAACCCCGTAATCGTTACTGGCGATTTCAACAGCCCCTCCACCGGCTCGGCTTCTGGCGCATACCAGGTCATTACGGGGCAGATCGCTCCTGTGGCGATCAATGCTACCTTCGCTCAGAAGTACGCTGTTCCGGACGGGTCTCTGCCCGACTTCAAGCTGCTCGACTTGAGAGCGGAGACACCTCGCGAGTTCGTGTCGGGCGAGTTTGCGACATCTACCGGTTTCACGGGCCCCGGAGAAGGGTCGTCGTACACCCGGATCGATTTCGTGTATGGTGACAGCAACGGCAACTGGTGAGTGAAGCGATTTGTTTCCATCAAGGGCATGCTCTGACAGCGTTCTCCAGGACGTCGGACGCGTACCACGTTGGTTCTTCGCTCACGGATGACGGGATCCTGGCAAGTGATCATCGTCCTGTGTTCGCCGACATCACGTTGCACTAGAGATGCTTCTCGGACCGAGGAGCCTATGCTCCGAGCCTGGTATGATTCCCAGATGAACATGATTAGCTTGTAGCTCCGTCGCTTTAATTTATGATGTATCGGATCATCGTGTACAAAGTGTGGCCAACTGAGATATATCGGTGCACTCATCTGCCTGGCGGGGCTCGTGTGGTTGCCTGCGGTCGCGGTGCTCGGTAAAGTTCGAGAGATTGACGAAGGGCACGCGGAAACCATGTGTATTCGCGTCAGTCTATAGCATTAGTACTCCGGCCCTCAGCAGGCTTACTGGACTGATATGACGTTGTTACTGAGTAACAAAGTTAAGTAAGTCCTCAATAGGCCTGGTAACAAAAGAGTTGATCGATCCATGAAGCGAGAGGCAGGGCCGGACAGCCGACCGTTGCAAGCTATAACAAGCGTGCTCTCTTCGTTACCTCCATGACCCACCACGACCCACACACTCCTCGACGCGTCACGATCTAAACATGATATTCTACCTGCTCTTCCGAATCATCAGGTCTGTCTCTCCAGCAAACCTGCTCGTCCTCAGAGGCTAAAGTACCGCTAGCGCGACCACATCATTTCTCTACCCCGGCTACGCCTCATACAAGGTACTCTCGCAACGGCCAGCAAACGAAGCAGAGCTCGAACGATGGCTCATGTACTGGAGTGTGCTGGGGTGCATCATAGCGGTCGAGTACGTCGCTGAATGGCTCGTCTCATGGTACGTCTTGTCCTCCTTCACCTCCTCCCAAGTCCCTCACATTTCTTTGTTTCTTTTGCTTCAGGCTGCCGCTGTACTACCCCCTGAAGACCCTCTTCCTCCTCTACCTTGCACTCCCACAAACAGCCGGCTCCGCATGGCTCTACCAAACGCAGCTCCGCCCCTTCTTCTCCGCACACGAGACGCAGATCGACTCTGCGCTCGCGCATGCGAAAGTGTACGTCTACAACTACTTCCAACGCCTCCTCCGCCGCGCCTGGGAGCAGGTCTCCGGCGCCGTCTCGCAGGCGCAGACGAACCCCTCGGGCCCCTCGCCGCTCGAAGAGGAGGCAGCGACGCACACCGGCGCCCCGCCCTCGCTAAACGACCCCGTCTCTGGCCCCGCGCAGCTTGTCGCGGGGCTGTGGAGCACGTATGGCCCCGGTATCCTCGCTGGTGGCGCGGCCCTCCTTACGCAGGCGCAGGCCTCCGCTGCGCGCGCGGCGGTGAACGCTGCGACGGGTAGTGGCAGTTCGGGATCCGGATCTGGAGGCCCAAGCTCGAGCTCGAAGCCGAAGAGGCAGAACAGCAGCATGTCGGAGCGCCGGAGACAGCTGGAGGCGGAGCTGGCTGCGCTTGAGCAGGAGCATACGGGGTACGATGTCTCCTCTGTGACATCGAGTCCAGCGTTTGAGACGGTTCCGATGCCCCCTGTTGATGGCGAGGGTAGGTCGCATGCGTCATCTAGTGGACACGGCAAGAATGGGGCGTTCGAGGAGGTCGAGGTGCCGAGCGACATGGAAGGTGACTCCCCTACACGGCCGGGTCAGGCGCAGAGAGGGAGCTGGTTTGGGTGGGGTGGTGCGGAAAAGGGGAAGATCGAGTGAGGTGCCAGGTGGGACGACGACATGACCTATCGTTGTGGAACACGACACGGAACCTCATACGACACGGCACCGAACACCAGACTTTCATGAACACACCGCTATCGCTCTCGCATTGTCATCGGAATTGGCATTTCTCTCCCCTTCTTCTGTATCTAGTGGATGTAATATTACTGGCACGATCGTAGACCCTGCGCGCTCTTTCTCTATCTCCGCCTCCACTACAAGCTACAGGAATTGTGCGTGCTCAGCTGTCTCTATACTTTCGGAATTCTGGGTCCTTGAGCAGTTTCTCCATCATGTCTGCTTTCAGGTGCAGGGACAAGCATACCGGTTCGTTGTACCAACGCCCGCTCCCACCAGTTTTCTCCGACACTACCTCAGGAGGACCAGCCTCCATGACATGGAAGCATCCGTCCGCGCTCGGCATCACCGCATCGACATATCTAGGTGGAGTCCCTCCACCAAAGTCGACCCCATAGGCACCCAGGTTCTGCCAGGACGATACGATCGAGTGTCGTTCTCCATGAAGGAAGGCATGCCAAATGTTCTGCGGGATGATCTCGTATGCCATCTGATGCAACAATGCAGATATCGCGTCCGGGGTGAACTGCGACACGGCAGCACGGATTGCAGACGCAGCCGGGGCCAACGACGAGGCGATCTGCTCGCCCGTCAGCGAAACGCGGGCAGCGATCACTGGAGACCCGAGGAGCACGTCGGGGAGCGGTGGGGAGAGTCGGGAGCGGACACCGAGGGTGAATGCAAGGTTGACGGGTCCCTGGTCGTGCTCCATTCCGCGTGCGCGAGTGATGAGTCGCCATACGAACGCTACCAACGCGTCGAGGTGGGAAATCCGCGGCGCTGCAGAGACAGAGGAAGAGAAAGAATCCTGCTGCTGCTGCTGCTGGCGAGTTGCGTCTTCGTAGACACGCTGGATTTCCCTCGGCGAGAAATAGAGGAGGTAGTGTGCGACGGGCGCAAAGACGGCGTCGTCTGACGGCCCGAGGTCTGTGCCTTTGCTCTCCTCGGGGACGTTGGTTGCACCAAGCATGATCGCGGGACAACTGTTAGCGGACGACCACCAGTCGGAGTGGACCATCGGGAGCGCCTTTGCGATGCTCATGAGTGCGGGGTCCGGTGCGGAGCGCTTGATATCTCCTGCAGCGGCATTGTCGACCAGAGCGGGGTCGAATATTGGCTTGAGCTCCGGAAGTGGGCTATGAGAGAGCACAGCACGGTGGACGGCTGCCCAGTCCTTTACGAACTGAAACATGGCAGTTGCGTCTGCGAGGCAGTGCACGATCCGGATCCCGATACTTATCCCGCCGCAGGTGAAGGTCGTCAATTGGACGGAGACACAGTGGCGCCCCTCGTACTCATCTGTGTTGTGCAACGCGAAAGACGTGGGGGAGAGGAGTTGGTGGGAAGGGAAGGAATCTGCGAACCACGCGCCGCTGGAGATGCGGGCGGCGCTGTCTGGAACGAGCGATGCGAGTGTGCTCGAGCTACGCGCCTCGATGAGCTCGATCCCTGGATCGTCTGATGAGCCGTAGGTGAGTGCGACACGTCCATGATTCGGACGATGCCCGTTAGCGGGGTCGTGCGGGATCCAATGCAGCTGCCCAGCCCATTGTGGATATGAGTTGAGCGTGGACCGAAGGGAAACGGTGAGGGCTTGATTGGAGAGCGCTTGCAGTCCGTCGTTCCCTCCAGCTGGGCGATCGAAGTACCATACGGCACTTGTCAAGGCGTACCGCGAAGTAGAATTATCTAGAATGGACAAGGGTGCTGTGCGTGCTGAGCTCTGTGGAAGTGTTGGTTGCAAGCGTGTACGGGAGATGGTCTCCAGTAGGATATCTGTGGCAATGGGTCGTCTCATGTTTGGTAGGCAGTAGTGAGTACCCACATACCTTGATGTGACATGATGGTCGTGTTTCAGGATTTGACGGCGGCCTGCCATCCAACCTTCCAGCTTCAAGGCGGAGACGTGTACTCCCTCCGCAAAAAAATTGCTGTTAAAGTAGTACAAGTTCGGTGACTTGCGGGATCGGACCCGGCGGTGGACATCCTTGGGTACCCTCAACAATCCTGAGGATTTCAAATTTGCTCAGCTTTCGGAACTCCACTGGGGTGGAAAGCTGACACCTACACACCAGCGCCCCGGGGCCAGTCACGCGGCACCTTCAAGGGAATGCTACATACCCAGGAAAACGTTGAACCACTTTGAGCGACAAATTCGGTGGAAGAACAAACCACAAGCAGTGATCCCGCGTCTACTCAGTAGTACCCTGTTTCCACTTACGTCTGAGGGACGTGATAAGCGCTCAATGACACAGAGCGGCGGGTCTACTTTCGTACTGAAAGAGGCTCGGGGTTACATATGTACCATACTCTAGCGGCTTACTCCTCTAGTAGCGGTGTGTCTCTCGGTCAGCGTAGCTCTTGGATCGAGTCATGAATCATTGCGGGTGGAGCTGATACATGACGCGAGACAGCATCATAGTACATACTATCCCGGTGGCTGGTACTGACAAGCATCACTAATTCCTACGACATGTACACATTTGGCACCTCATGGAAACGAATGAGAAAATTTACGACCAACCTGGGAGTCGAACCCAGAATCTTCAGCTAATCCGTTCCGGAAACTGACGCCTTAACCATTAGGCCAGCCGGCCGACATACATGTTAAATTGTGCATTGCAACGTTATTGTTACTGAGTTCCAAGGCAGGATTTCAACAGCCTCGTGGTCTGCAGTGTTCAATTCATCCATCCAACTACCTCAGGTTGAAGCATGGAACCACTCACACGCACAGAGATACTCCAGATCCTTCCCTCTTTGGGTGTTGACATTGCCCAAGACACCAAACTATCACACGCCGCTATCCGAACACGTCTTCGAGATGCCCTGGACGCGGCACAATACAAGGACCATCTTTCGCCCTCTCTCAACCTAGGCAGCTTACCGTTATGGCCGCTTACGACGCCCGTAGAGCGCAATACATCGGCTCGATCAGTCTCCGCAGCATACGAGAGGGGTAATCTAGACGAGGCCAGGCAGGCATTCGAGGGGACTCTCGGTGACATACCCGGTGGCATAAACGTGTTCATGGGGATACGAAAACTAATCATGAGCATGGCGGAATTCGTCGATACCGGTTTGATGCGGTGGCACCTCAAAGACCCGCACGATGAGAAGCGCACGTTCGCTATACGGGATCGTCGCTTGATTTTGTGGCTGACAGAGGTGCTCTGTTAACGGCGCGATTCTTCAGGTTGCATCAGTCCTGCAGGTCGACGAAAAGACTCCAGCTCTGGTAGTCTTCTGGCGCCCGTTTGACCGGTCGACTGCTGCTAAGAGCACGCCGTGGCTCCATCAGCAGGCAGCCGCAACTGCCGGCAATTTGGTAGTGTCGCCCCCCATCTCGTTGGTGGAACAGAAGCTCCTTGCAAGTATCCTCAAAGGGAACGCCGCCCTCGTCCCAAAGGATTTCAAAGTGGAGAAACGGTCCACCGAGACGCAATTCCACACGTCCGTGCTGCTGCCGATCGGGCCGCTCGAGTACGAGGCTTTATCGAAGTTGAACAGCAACGTCGGATGTGCCGTCTGCGGAAAGAAAGCCATCAATCGCTGTTCGCAGTGTCAGTCTGCGTCGTACTGCGGGGCAGGTGAGTCCGCTTGAACAATTTCTTGTGTACGCCCCCGGATGCATCCGTCAGCCAGAATGCCAGCGCGCCGACTGGGCCGCGCACAAAGACGCATGCCGTGCGCACTCACTCAAAAATGGGCAGTGGGTGACAGTCAAGACGTGGGCGACGCCCTTCGGCGGCCTCGTGAAAGATGGCATGGCCGTCTCGACGCTCAACAAGTACAGCAACATCAACCTCGGTTTCTCGGACAAGACCAGCGTGGCGTCTGAGCTCGATTCTTCCCAGGCTCCGCCGAAAGAGTACGGCGACAGGCTCTTCCTCATCAAGATGCAGGGCGGGATGCCAGGCATGGGAGGGCCACCAGGTCACTTCATGATTTACGACCGAAAGCGCTCGTTCCAGTCGTTCATGGTCCGTAAAGACGACCCCGCGCGGTCCGCGAAGGTCCTGAGGGAGATGACCGGGCCCCGGGCTAAGTACGATGGTTGCAAGATGTATCGATGGGCGAAGCGGACTGGTGACTGGGAGCTGAGTGTGTGTCTTGATCGTGAACCCAAGTTGGACGCATGCAAATGGTGACTCGCGGGGACAGGGTGAACGAATCCCCCAAATCGCTTGTATATGTATCGCTCGGAAGTTCCTCACAAGTATCTTCTTGGATTATCACTAGCCGCTGAGCGTCGCCGCAGAAAATGGTCACACTTCCGGCCTGAGACTCTGCACAAAGTCTCGAATTCTCACCATTAATGTCGCAATTGGCACATGGACAGAGAAAGAATGGTCAAAACTGCGCTTAGGTAGGCTGAGGTTCAAGTGACGGTTAACTGCCAGTGTATACTAGTACTAGTAGTACTATCCGACGAATCTGCAACTTGAATCTGCAACTCAGACAGAAGTGGGTCTGGCGCCGCTAGGGCAGAGGGCGAAAGAAGAACTCTGCATCATCATCAACCAAACGCATCGTTAGCGATGCCGACTTCGACTTTCATAGCTGAATCCTGACACTACATGCACGGGCCCGAAGGTTGTGTTGTGATAGGCATGGGAAATCTCGGGGCGGTCTTACCTTACCCAAAATCATATTCTCACGGGAAAGGTAAACTATCCCAACAGTTTGCCAATGGTTTTCCATGAGCAGGTTTGGCAACCTTTCACACCGGACAGGGCACGGGGGGAAATGCATGACAAAGTTAGAAAAAACCGTGGCGATCTGACGCCCGATGCAAAAGGTACACTTTCCCGACTCGGGTAAGTTTGTCTCAGAGTCTTTTGGTGCAAAACATAACCTTTCTCAATGCTGCCACCGACCCATATTGGGTCAAGCACAGGAAAGTGATGGGAAAGTGATACTTTCCGGCCCTGTAATCGATGATGTTATAGGTTTCCTTTCACTCCCTGTGAAAGGCGCTGCATATAATAGTGAAATTCAACCTTTCCCCAAAGGTCAATTTTTTGGGGAAGGTAAGACCGCCCCGAGATTTCCCATGCCTATCCCAACACAACCTTTGGGCTCTTGCACGTAGTGTGATGTTGTGGCGGGGCAGAGCGCTTGTCATGTCACTCCCTTCCGAATCTGGTTGTCACGATCTTCCCGGCGTTTCCGCTCCCAAATCCGGAACGATTCCGGGGACTGTCTCATTCTTTCCTGACCAAGATGGCCCTCCGTCAAAGGCCGCCAGACATAGTAACCGAAAACGCGTTCCGACACTTGTCTTTGAATCAGACCAGCCCCTATATGCTTTCCGACGGTCTGGGCCTAGCTCCCGCACGTTCTCTGGTTTGATCTGAAATCTTACCGCGCAACTGCCTTCCACATCCTCAATCCTACGATCGATACGACATGTCGAAGTGGGACATGCAGCCAGTACCGCTGCAATTTGTAAGGTGCCAGCCCCATCCTAGATGGCTGTGCAGACACGCTCTGACATGTATAAATAGAGGTGGATAGCACGACGTTGGGGCACCTAAAGTCTCCCTCGTCACTGGCTGGCGCACTCTCGCTTCACACCTCAGCTACAACTTCGCCTTTTTATTCACGTAAGTGCACTCCGTCTTTCCTTGCTCCGTGCGATCTGCTCACGATATCTCTCTCAGGCCCGTATACCTTCCGTCGCCAACAGATATGTCCTCTACCATGTCCCACCCGCGCAGCTCCTTGAAGCGAACTTCCGTATCGTCCACGAGCTCTTCCGAGTCGAACTACTCCGACTCGTCGTACTCCCCAAGCCCTCGCAACTCTGTGGAATACAGCCAAGGACTTGTCAGGGCGCCACCCCGTGGGTCGATGCACATGACCGACCCCCAAGCATTCTACGGGAGGCCATATGGCAAGACAATGCACAACGCGTTCACGACCTCTGGAAGGACGTCCGCAGCTGCAGTTGATGTGCCGCCGTCTCGTCGGAGGAACCGCGTCAGCTTCTCCGAGGAGCACGAGCTCCGCTTTTACTCGCCGTCCCACCCGCCGAACAAGTTCTTGAAGCCAAAGCACGGTGTTTCGCGGGTAATCCGTGAGTATCATGTCGCATCTGTACGATGAATGATTGCTCACGGCTTCTCACCGTCGTTCATAGAATCATTCGTGGATGCGATTTGCGTTGAAGAGCCCCGCCTATACCAACCGCCACCACCAAAGCGCATGACTGCAGATATGGCAGAGGCGCGGATTCGGGAGTACCGCCGCGCAACGGGAGACTGGTGAGAGACGTGGAAGAGGTCACACACTGGCATACCCAACAGCCTGGCGCTCTTATGTATCCCACGTGTTTTCAGTGTCACAAATACCCAATACCCATTTCATTCCATTTCAATCGCTGTGGTATGGATACATGAGAGGCATGCAAACATCTTTGCAAATTTACAGAAAGAGCGAAACATACATATGGGTGGCGCACGTTGCAACTAAGAAGAACTGACAAAAATCCTCCAGTCAGCCCCCTAAGCTTCTATCACACTGAAGGCTTGAACCACTTGAGCGGCAGTGCCACAGCACAATAGCAAATCTCCCTGACCCCCGCCGCCGCATACGCCAGCACGATATGCACATGCACAAACCCCCGTGCCACGAGCGGGATCGCGAAGAGGTTGTACACGAACGACCACGCAAGGTTGAACGTGATCCGGCGTAACCGCGTCCGACCGCTCAAGCTTCAAGTAGGGTCAAAATCCCAGTAAGAGAAGGCCTAGGGTGCGTCAGTATCGTGAAACACCTGCCACAGTATGTATAGGACGCCGCGACGCCAGCGCCATTCCCAGTGCCATCCAGGTGCATGCCGATCACAGCTTGAGCGAGCGCGACGGCATCCGACTCGGAGTTCGTTACTCTCTGCAGGACAAGACTATCTTGCCCTGTGCGGTGTGATCATTACGCCTGCCTATTGTATCGGCGGGAAGACACCCGGCGCGCACTGGCACGCCGCGTTCTGCTGGGATGCCAACTTAAGGCCGGCGGTGATAGTATTGGAGTTGGAGTTGGAGACGAGCAGCTGGTCACACGCGCTCAGGTCAATGACTTCTGAGGGTTTCAAGCTTCCCAATTTCCCCGAACGGCCCGAACCCTCTCCCGCACTGCCTGTGTGCGTCACGTGAGCCTCAGGGAGGGACTGGCAGGGCTGCCCTTGCAATGGCATCTTGGGTATCCGTTATATCCTCTGGAGTAGACGTCCGAGTCATGAGTGCATGCTTCTCGGACACAGAGACCTCGTGGGTCGTCTTCCATCCATCACGATCATATACTGGGACGTTCCTCTCCGTACTTTTTACTATGCTGCCACTCTGCCAGCTCTGAGCTCTCCGCATGCTTCTAGGAGGAGACGGCTCCTCCACACTGCATCTTATATTACCACCTCCTCCTTTTCTTTCCTGCCGTATACCCTGATGGCTGTGCGTAACCGCTGTATATATCTAAACGAATCTGGCCCGTTCCCACTGCAATCTCAGGTATGTTCATACAGTTGCCAAAACCATATCCGCTCACCGTCTTCTTACTAACCTCCTCCCCAATGTACAGCCCTTCCATTCCACAA